TGCCGTTGCCACGGCTGGTCAGCGCGCGCCCCTCGTGAGAGGCCCGTGGACCAGCGGCGTCCGTACGTCCCAGGCCTCCGATGCGGCATCGTGTTCTCGGAGCGGGCGCCCTGGAGCGCTGGACCACTTCCCGGGACCAGCTTTCCGTCGGTTTTTTTTTGTTCTCGGCCCCGGGGCAGCAATGCCCAGGGCCTGGTGTGTTTGCTCTGCTCGGCCCCTGGGGGCGGCAGGCTGCAGAAGTGCGCGAGGGGCTCGGGGTATTCGTGCGTGGGAGGTCTGGAACTTGTTCGCCCCCCGCGGGGCGAGTCTGCAGCGGGCTCCCCTGGGGGCGCCACCTGGCGCCCCCCCTCTTGTCGGGGGTGGATCGACCTCCTACCCTGACACGTCGATTAGCGAAATGGCCTGTTTCCGTTCGCGAGAGGGCGTCTCTGCCGTCACGCTTGCGGGTCCAGGTCCGTCGGTTTCGGTCATAGGCCGTTTTCACTTAAGGGTGGTCTACTAAAGGGAGGTTTGTCCGCCGCCGACCTCGGCGTGCTCCGAGCGCCAGGGGATTAGGCTCCAGGCCGGCTCGCCCTCTACAGGAGGAATGTTCAAGAATAGTCAAAAAATCGTCGGGGGGCGATTTGTCGATTCATCTTGGCCATCCTTGAGCATAATTGGTGCATTTTCCATTTGTCGCCCAACATCCGCCTGTAGGGCGGCATGCCCGACCTAATGTTGGGCGCGGTTCGTACAGAGATGGCGATGGGGCCCCGCAGGTGCACGAGAGGTACCCTTTCCCTCCTTTCGGAGAAGAAAGCTGTCCTTCCCCTTTTTCGGAGGAGGAGAAGGAGGAGGAGGAGGAGGAGGAGGTCCGTTGCCATGTTGCCTCAGGGTCCGGGACAGGCCCGAGGTTGAGCGGGCAGCTCTCTTTCGAGCGATCCAGCTGTCACAGGCTGGCGGACACCTGTTCCCAGTCATGCCACCCTCCGCTCGTGTCGGAGGACTGGAGCGCTCGCGCTCGCAGGCGATGCAGGCATCCTCTGGCAAAGGCAAGGCCAGCTCTTGGACAGTCGCCCGCCCAGGTACTCGACAGCACGGGCCTGGAAACCGACCTCGAGCTCTTCCCCGCCTTCGCGACGCAAGATCGTCCTCCCCTTCCTAGCTCTGATGCTCCTGAAGGCGACCCTCCACTCCCTGAAGGCGATCTCCGTGCCTTCGTCACCAAGGAGAATGCGGATGCCTTGGCCGCCATGTCCACCATGCAGCAGTCCTCGTTCAAGTTGCAGCGCAGCGTCAGTGCCCACTGCCAAGGCCCCAGCCAGCAGGTCGAGCAGCGCCTCGCCCGTGTCGAGACCAGCCAGCACACGTACACCGAGCGCATGGACATCATGTCGAAAGAGATGTAAGAACTCAAGGCTGCGCTCCGGGCCGTGCAGTCCAGCGAGCCCCAGACCTGTGTCAACCCCGACCACGGCTCCCTGAGGAAAACCGGCCCGTGCATCATCGTGGCCCGATCGAACCAATTCGTCACCAAAGAGTCCGTGTCCGCCGCCATCACCCAGTGGTTCGCTGACGCGAACATTGAGGAATCGTCCTGGCGCCTCCACGGGGAGCCTGCGGCCAAGCGGTTCGTGGTGCGCTTCCGTGGCGTTGCGGGCTGGGCCTCTCGTGTTGACTCGCAAGCCCTTGGTGCCATGCGCTTCTGCGACGGCAGCTTCCGTCGCCTCCAAGCTCGTGCTGCCATAGGTGAGCTCGTTGATGTGTACGTATCCGAGCATAAGAACTTTCCAGATACGCAAGGAACGGGCCGCCAAGCATCTCAGAACTATGCTTTCTTCGTTCGTCCAGGGTGTGAAAATGTTTGCCGGCAAATCATCAAATGCGATCAGTGCTGAATGGAACCGCTTCTTCGTGTCACGCCCAGACCTTCCGACGGCCCGGCCATCGAGTGGGAGGAAACGAACTTGGCTGCCATCGGGACTCGCCGTGCCGCAGTCGAGGAGAGGATCATTGCCTCGCTTGCCCAGTCCAGCCCAGCATCCTCCGCTCCCCCACAGTGGTGCGTTTAACAAGTGGTTCCTCCTGACGTGTGGCCAGTCCTCTCCTGAGTTCGGGCTGGTCACTTGGAATGGGAGGGCTCTTTTCCATCATACCGCTAGTGTACGATCCACGAAACAGCGCTTCCAGGAAGTGTTCCGCGGGTCTCGGATCATTGCTGTCCAGACGGCCCGCGGGAGCGATTTTGATGTTTCGGAGTTTCTGCACGTGTCTACTGCTGGTCATCAAGTTAAACCGTCTTTCTTCCCCGAGTTGAACAAGGGCAGGGTCGTCACGTTTTCCCCTTCCTGTCTCTGGCCCCCCTGGCTTTGTGGCCTCTGTGGTCTCGCTCGAGCTCGACAGCGGACGCGCTCTTGGCGCCGCTATCGGCCTAGGTGCTGCATTGCAGTCTGTAAATAGCATTTGTAAGACCACCATCCCCTACAACATCCACAAGCACGATCTCTCAGGGGAGGAACCGGATTTTGGCAGCATCGAATCCGACCTTCTCCAGGCAGTGTCTGATCCAGAACGTTTTTTTCTCTCGTGGTGGTTGCGGGTGATTTCGACACCTCGAGGGGCCCGCCACTATCTGATATTCCTCCTGAGGCGCGGGCCGGTGAAGACCCCGCGCTTCCTGACTGGCGCCGTCTCCGCCGCTCGCTTTGGCAGCCGCGTTTCAGCGATCTCGCGGAGCCTGACCCGCGGGGGCACACTCGCTACAACGGTTGCCGCCGACGCGCCTCCGCCATCGACAGTGAATTCTGACATCGGATCGCCTTTCCTCGGAAGCTTGGGACCTCCCTGAAATTTTCGAACACTCTGTTCTCGATCCTGTGGCTGCTATTCTTTGGTCGAAGCCCCCCGCGAACCTCGGGGGCCAGACGATTCCCTGGCGCATATTGAGCATCCCGATTTCCAGAAGTACGTGTAGTTTTTTTGGGCCTCTCTGAACTCCTCGGCGCTGACCCCTCCTCTCCGATTCCAGGTATGCGAGGAGCGTGACTCCCGAAGAGGACCCCGACAGCCTCGCCTCCATGCTGACCCCTGCGAGGTCTATGTCTCGGGCGGTCTGGCGACGATCACAGGTGGGGCCCGCGTCTTCTTCGTTATCCTTTAGCCCGAGTTAATGTCGAGGTTCATGAGGATCATGGGGTGGCGTTGCGAGATCCCTCCCAGCAGCGTTCCGTCCGCAACGAGGCGGGCGCAGCCGAGAGATGCGCTGCGCCTGGTCAGATCAAGGCGAAGTTGCGCAAGAAGTTGCGACGCCTGGCCCGCCCCGTTCGACCGCAGGGCCGCGCTCGCGGGGGCGCGAACTGAAAATCAACCGGTTGTCTCGTCTCCCGAGGGCATGTCCGAGATCATGTCTGCTCACTGTGGTGATGTCTTCCAGCCGAAGTTCATGGATGCGAACGCCGCCTTGACCTATCTCAACCGCTTCTGCCCCTCGACAAATCTGATGATCCCCCTCCTACGCTATCTGAAGTTGAACGATATCTCCGTCGCATTCCTGCTCCCGGTCCTGTTGGGCCAGCGTGCAAGTCCTTCCAGAAGCCCCTCATCTCCGCGGGCATTCTACGTGACGTAATGCGGTGAGTCTTGGATGAGCGGCCTAACCCTAGGAAGCACGCGAGACCCCCCCCCCTCATCTGGCGAAGGAATAACGCATCCGGCGCCCTGGAAGCGCTGCCGCTGCACTGGAGGAGCCCGCAGAGACAGCTCGGCGCCAAGCTGAGCCTTGCTGGGCCCTGCTAGATCCTGCTAAGCCCTGCTAAGCCAGGATAAGCCAGGTTCGCCCCCTGCTGGGCCCTGCTGCGCCCTGCTCAGGCCATGGGCATCCCCAGCGGTTTCCCCCTGCGCGTCGCGCGGCGCGCGACGCGCCGCTTTTTTTCACGTTGTTTATGTTTTTGTTTTTCGTTAAAAAATCGGTGCGAGGTGCTGCGCATGTCGCGCTGGGAACCGGCCCCCCTTGACATGTTAAATCCGAGCGCTGTGCTGACGATGACCTCGATTTGTTGCCTCGGGTTATGCCGATTGGATTTGACGATGTCCTGGGCGTATTTATGTTAATTACACCGAGGATGCGGACTGCCCCAGTGGCTGTCTCAGGGCCCCGGTAATCTGCGCCCGCTGGGATTCGAAAACACGGACAGCATAATCAGCGCAGGAATCGCTGCTCGGATATTATCATGGCACCTGCCGTCCACTGCCAACCCAGTGCCAAGTGATGTGGCCCCCGCCCGTAGCTTCGGAAACCATATCATCGAGCTCGACGCACTCTCCAGGATCTACTCCATGCGAGCGAAAGCCACCATAGCCATGCCTTCGTTGCTCAGCTTTGATTCCCGGCAGGCCCCCAAGTGTCGCCCACGAATGGATTCACTTGGTTATCCGTCGCATGGGCGTGGTGCCCTCTGTGTGCTGGTTCTTCGTGGGACTGCGTCGGTGTGCGCACTGCTTCGCCGTCGCCTCCGCGGACCTCAGCCACCTGCACTTCGCGCAGAGCTGCATCGTCCAGGGCTGCCCTGGTTTAGCCTTTTTTGTTCGCTGTGTGCGCGGACAATTTCATGCAGGACTCCGATCGCAGCGCGAATGCCAGACAGATTGGGACGATCCGCGCATGTGCTGATGACGTGGGCACGGCCATATTACGTATTCACGTGCTTAAAATACTCCATCGTATCTCCAGAGTGGCTGCCAGAGTCGCCAGCTTGCGCCTCGAAGCTAGCATACATATGAAGTTTGTTCCTCCCTGTGGCGAGTTCTCCGATGCGAATGTCCAGAGATATCGTGGCTGGCTTGCTGCTCACCTCCCAGACTGGACATCGCTTGAAGTGGTGCCGAGCCTGGTCAATCTCGGCCTCCGTCTTGGTCCTGAAGTTACTTTGGAGAGTTGGAACCCGCCGGCGGCAACGCGGGGGCCCTGCGCCCTCTCGCCGGCAACGACGGGCTCCCCAAGCAGAGCGACATCGCACAACTATTCGGTCAGATGCGCCTCGGTGCTATCTTATGTTGCTCAATGTTTCCAGTCTTTGCAGCTCAGATCGCGTCTGGGCCCGCCGCCCTCGCTAGTCTCTGGCGCGCCCCACGCTGTGCCGAGCCTCCTCTGGCGCGCCTCTCGCTGTGAAAGATGGAATGGCACCTGCGTTCCGAGCCTCCTCGCCGCTGCCTCCGCCCTCGTGCGCGCCAGGCGTAAGACTTTCGAAAGTAAGGGCCCGATGGTTCGACTTTTCGAGAGAGTGCCGAAGGGGGCCTCCCTGACGTTCTGATTTCTCAGGGTCAGCCTTCCGTCGCCTTTGGAAGCGAAATTTGTTTGCTGAGTTCCTCGGGAATTCTAACAGCGGTTTCCCCGTACCTTTCGGACATGGCCTGATCGCGTCCTCTCCCGCCTCGGTTGAGCTCCTCGTTCCTGCTGCTGCGACTGCCGCGCCCCCCCCTCCCCCTTCTTCCTCGCTTCAATCTCCAAGGCCACCCTCGCAGAGCCATTCTCTAAATCGGCTTCCCGACGGTCTGACCGTCATCTTTGCTGCGCGGTTGTCCCGCTGGTTGCCCGATACCGAAGCCCAGATTCGAGTTTGGCCGTGGGGGGGGGATCCGTGAGGTAATGCCCGCGCTCCCGTGGTCCCAACAGGGTGCTATTCTCAGACGTCTGATCAACAGCTGGCCTACTGACCCGAGGCCCCAGCAGGGCGGCAACAGTTTGCTCGGTTGCATCCCCAATTGGATCAACCCCAGTCGCGACAAGCTCTCGCATTGCTAGTCTTCTCTTCGCTTCATTCACTTGCTCTGTGCCGTCTTGCGCGTCCCCTCTTTCCCTGGCTGCCCCGTCCATCGCCTCGGTCTCCCCGCCCCTCGTCTGACTCTGTTCTCATTCCCGCTGCTGCCGCCATTCTGTGCCGCAGCCTCCGCGGCCGCCGTTCCATGCGGGAATGCGCAGCGAACGAGCCCAGGGCCCGCGCGCTTGCCGCCGCCGTCCGCTTCCAGCTGTTCAGGTAGCGCGGGTAGTTGAGGAGCTGCGGACGTGGTGCGCAGCCCACGGTCGAAGAGGAATATGAGGAGGAGGGGAAGGAGGGGAGGAGGAGGAGGAGGAGGAGGAGGAGGGGAGGAGGAGGAGGAGGAGGAGAGGAGGAGGAGGAGGAGGAGGAGGAGGAGGAGAGGAGGAGGAGGAGGAGGAGTTGGGAATTGGAGGAGGAGGAGGAGGAGGAGGAGGAGGTGGAGGAGGATGAGGAGGAGGAGCAGGAGCAGGAGGAGGAGGTGGAGGAGGAGAAGGAGGAGGAGGAGGAGGAGGAGGAGGAGGAGGGAGGGGCCATCCATAGACATAGAAAAAAGGCATGAACACACAGTGTCGGCTCTCCGCGCGGAGTTTTAGGATGTGCGCTGGAGGTCACCCAGCGGCGCCCCCGGCGCCGCCGTTGGCGCGCCGGAGGCGCACCAGAGGTGGGGACAAACGCAAGTCCAAGACGCCCGTGCGGATTGTCAAAAGTGCGTACATTCAGAAAGTTTGTTCCTCTTCTGTCCGCAAGTCGGGCATTTCCCTCTACAGGGGGGATACTCCAGAATAGTGAACACATAGCCTGAGGGTGTTGTTTTTCGTGTTCCTTGGACTACTTTGAAGTATCCCTTGATTACGTTTTAGTATGCTTCCAAAGTCCGCCTGCAGGAGAACATGCTCGACCTAACTCTGCCCCTCCCGCTGATTCCACGCCCGAGGGGAGGGCGCCCATCGCCCTGCCTGCGCCGCCTTTCTGTCCCCCTTCAGGTTCCAGGTCCACTTCTACTGGGGGACAAAACCCCATCGCATGTCAGAGAGAGGCGGCGGAACTCGAAGCAACTAGATCGCCTGGATAAGATGATTCACGACAGGAACATGAACGAACTCTGGCTGATCGTGCTCGAGGCTAGTGCCTGCACGCTATGCTGTCGTGGGCACGTGCGGATCCCATCTCAACGCGCACGACTCCGGCGTTCCGCTTCCGCTTCCGCTTATCTAGGCCTCCTGCATGCTTTGGCGTCCGTTTCCGCGTCCGCTTACCTAGGTTTCCCACATAGGGCCCAAGCAGATGGGGTCGGACGATCGCGATGTATCGCCAACGCATTGGCCATGCGGCTTTGTGTGGAGCTTGCTTCTCTCGACGCCGACGTCGCTCCGACGTCGCGGATGCATCGGCGATGCGGCGCAGTCCTCCGACCCCATCCTTTCGGTACCAACTTGGGGGGATGAGGAGGAGGAGGAGGAGGAGCAGGAGGAGGAGGAGGGAGGAGGGAGGAGGAGGAGGAGAGGAGGAGGATGAGGATGAGGATGAGGAGGAGGAGGAGGAGGAGGAGGAGGAGGAGGGAGGAGGAGGAAAAGGAGGAGGCGGAGGAGGCTGAGGAGGAGGAAGAGGAGGAGGAGGGAGGGGGGGGAGGAGGTGGAGGACGAGGAGGAGGGCGGGGAGGAGGCGGGAGGAGGAGGCGGGGAAGGAGGTGGTGGAGGAGGAGGAAAGGGAGGACGTGGAGGAAGAGGAGGAGGAGGAGGAAAGGGAGTAGGATCAGGAGGAAAAGGAGGAGGAGGACTAGGAGGTGGAGGAAAAGGAGGAGGAGGAGGAGGAGGGGGAGGAGGAGGGAGGAGGTGGAGGAGGAGAGGAGGAGGAGGTAGGAGGAGGAGGAGGAGGGGAGGAGGAGGAGGAGGAGGAGGAGGAGGAGGAGGAGGAGGAGGAGGAGGACGTGGAGAAGGAAGAATAGGAGAGGAGGAGGAGGAGGAGGAGGAGGAGGGGGAGGAGGAAGAGGAGGAGGAAGAGGAGGACGCAGAGTTGGAGAGGAGGAGGAGGAGGAGGAGGAGGAGGAGGAGGAGGTGGAGCAGGAGGAGGAGGTGAAGGAGGAGGCCTCCGGCTCAGGCTCCAGGTCCTCGAGCTCGGGTCCAACGCCCTCGGCGACGGCGGCGCCCGCGCCCTGGCGGACGGCCTCCAGGCGAGCGGCTGCCTCCAGCAGCTCGACGTCCACAGCAACGGCATCGGCCCGCTCGGCGCCGAGCACCTGGCCGGGGCGCTGGCGGGGCACCAGCACGTGAGGTCTGGGGCATCGACAGTCGAGGCTGATTGGTAGGTCGACCCTGCCAAATTCTTGGCCTCTCTTTTCTTGCTGCCTAGTCGCGGCCTGGCTAGTGTTCGGACGGCTGTCGACCTGCTTCGCGAGCCCGCAGACCAAAAAGCATATCCCCAACCGCTTCTGACGCCGCGCGGGTGCTCGCCTGCGGTCGCGATCAAAAAGTACCCCCACCCGCCCATCCAGAAACGATGCCCATGAGGGTTGACGGAGGGAGAGAGGAACGCATAGTCAAACAACGAGGGAGGCTTGGGAGGCTCCGTGGCCATCTCGAGCCGTCTTGGAACGGTCTTGGGGCCGCTTGGAGCATCTTGGGAGCCATCTTGAGCCAGCTTGGGCTATCTGAGCCATCTTGGAGGTCATCTTGGGCTTTCTGAGGCCGTTCGGGGGCCTCTTGGGTACCTCTCGGGTGCCTCTTGGAGCCCTCTTGGGTCTCTTGGGGCGCTCTTGGAGCCCTCTGAGGGGCCTCTTGGGAGCCCGGAGCGCCTCTTAGGGCCACTTGGGAGGCGGTCGGTGAAAAGAGGGGGGATCCTTGAGTTCCCCCCTCGGCGGCCACGATCCTCGTGAGCGGTGTCACAAATTAGCCCTCCGAGGGGTCGGAAAAAGGAGCCTCCGACACCTCGCGACCCCTCCAACAAAAACCTCAGGGAGGGGAGGCCTCTCCGAAGGGAAGAGGGGTTGTGGAAGAGGAAAGAGACCCTCCTTAGACCACCTGTCGCCCAAAGGGCTGGTGGGATTAAGGGTACCCTTGTGTCATGTGCCTCGCGACCCATGCTTCTACATTCATGTGGAAATGTTGCCCTCGGAAGTGTCCTCTCGCATGTCCTCTTCAATCCACCCCGACTAGGGATAGGGGGGACGCATCAACCCCCACTCGCCCATTGATCGCCGATAGGGGTCTGATAGCCCCAACCCGCCCAGGAAGGTTCGGATTCACTATCGGGGACCTATCGCCTACTTGTCGGCGATGTATCGCCGATCCCAGGTCGATGCATCCCCCCTATGCCAGTCCCTCCCAATCGTTGCCCCCCATGAGGGCCCTCCACCTCGGCGAGAACCGCATCGGCCCGAACGGCGCGCGGATGCTCATCCCGAAGAGCAAGCCAGAACTGCACGAGCATAACCGCTCCAGGGGTGCGCGCACACTTTCGTTAAGTCCTGCATGTGCAGGAGGACGGTTCAGGAATAGTAAAAAATAGTCTAGTGACGATTACTCGTGCTCTTTGGACTATGTTCAAATATTCTGGGATTGTTTTTTCTTCCAGACTCGGCCTCTAGAGGACATGCCCGACCCAAGACTTGCGGGTCGGCGCTGGACTTCCCCGGGCGGTGCCTCCAGCTCAGGGGTTGGGGTTCAAGAGACGGGAGTCAAGTCAAGCAGGGGTCTCTCGGAGCTCCGAATCTTGCAGGACCCTGCAGGGCCAGGGGCGCCTTGACCCGGGCTCGGGTGCAGGATCCTGCAGGATCGCGCAGGATGTTGCAGGATCCTGAGAGGCCGCACTGACCTGGGTTTGGATGGACCCGGGTCCGTGAGTCTAAAACAGGGCTGGGATCGGGATAAATCGCTCCAGAGCGTTCCGGAGCGCTCTCAGAGCGTTCCGGAACGCTCTGGAGCGGCCGCGGCGCCCAACATTTCATCCTCCAAGCCCGCCGATTCTCAGAGATGTCGAGTCATCCCGATCCGATTTTGTCCCGGTCTTCGCGTCGTTTTAGAGTCCCCCAAGGGGGGGGGGGGGAAGGGCAGCGAGGCCGCCGCTCGCCCCGGGAGAGTGCACATCTCTTGGGCCCCCCCGCCAGCGCCATACCCCCGGCGCGCTTTGTTCCGCGCGGCGGGCGCGGGGAGGCCCAGCGCCGGCGGCGGAGGTCGGCGCGGGCTTGCAGTGGAGGCCCGTGCCAAGAA